CCCTTGGCCCTGTGCTTGGTCTGTGCCCATGGTAAGCCCATGGTGGTGAGCAAGGCCAGCAGGACCAACATCTCCAGAGGGTGCCTACACCTGTGGAGGAGAGGCGTGGCTAGCTCTGCTCACTGATGTCCCAGGTCTCCCTGGAACAGAACTCTCTCCTCTCCTGGTCCCGAATCCACTCCCCGGCCCCACCCCATCCCCACCATGACACCCTCACTCCTTGTTCTGCAGCTCCCATGCACTCACACCTCAGAACCTTTCTCACACTTTTTGACCCACATAGTCTATGCTCTGGGCCACTTGCTGACCCGAGGGATGAGCGGTTAATTTGCCTACACCCCTCAACCACACTCACTTCCTCAGCAGTCCTTGCCTCAGCGGGTCCATGAGTCCTGGCATCTGAGTTGAGGTCTGAGAAAAAGCTGGTTTGGGGTCGCTTTCCTCACACTGCCCCCTACAGGGTGCCCCTGGTGCTCCTTCTGGAACATTCCAGCTCCACCATGCCAGTCTCATTGAGGTCCATCCAGAGGGGGCGACTCAGGTTCGGCTTCACACTCCACAAACAGCGCCCTCTGCCTGACCTCACTGTAATTATTCTTCACTCGATAGGCCCCTTCTCTGCTGGGAGCTGGACACCAGATGACAGACCCACTCTGGCTTTCTTATGCCTCCTGGGCCGATGTGGCACAGAAGTCTGTGTTCAGGTTAGTTCCATGAATGAATAAGCACGCACACAGTACAGGAGTGACAGGGTTAAGGGTCACAGCTCCTTCCACCTCGCACAAGAAGCGCTATTTCGGATTTGTCAACAAGCTGTCCCATATAGAACTCCAGCCAAAGTCAATGCAGTGTCGCTTGCTTCCTTTTCACCTGGCTTTCTCTCCACGATCCAGTGACAATGTTCTCGCGGTTTTCCACAGTTGCATGTCTCCTGTAGCCGAAATTTAATACAGCATGTTCTTTAACAGAGTTCAGAATTTCTTGGTGAACTTCCCCTTGGGGTTGGACCTCCTCCTGACTCTCTTGACATACTTCCCCCTGGGCTCTGACTCTCTCTTGTACTTCCTTTAGGATTCTAACCCATTTCCGGGGCTCCACATTGATGTGATCCTTTTCTTGGCCCATACCTCGGGTGTATGATACTCATCAGACACTCCTCTCTAGATGTTTGGAATATATCTCTGTGCCCATATTCCAGGGATTCATCTGTCTTGACAGTAGCCCTTAGTTCTCAGAGGCTTTCAGTGTATCCTCTCCTCAAAAGATTGGAACCTTGTGGGTAGAACACGAAGAGAGTATCGGAACAGTAAGGGTAGGGCACCAAGACAGGGTAAGAACTCTACTGAAGTGAATCAAAAGACCGTTGGTGATTTGAGGCTTTAGGGGTGGGGATCAGGACCGTTGAATAGGCCACGAAGAGAGTTGGAAGACTGAAGAAGAGGTTCCAACAGAGCACAGCCAGGCCACAAGATAAAGTTAGAGCCATGAGGTAGGAGCATCAAGAAAGGGAGGGAGGGAAGGAAGGAGGGAGGAAGGAGAGAGAGAAAGGGAGAGAGAGAGAGAGAGAGAGAGAGAGAGAGAGAGAGAGAGAGAGACTTAATGAAGGGTATACAGAAGTGGTTGGAACCCAGAGGGAGGATCTGAATCCTGATGAAAAGAGACAGGTACCTCAAAGGAAGGGCACAGGAGAGGGTTAGAGCACAGAGACCGGTGGTGCCAATCGATTGAGTGGCAGTGAGGAAAGAGGTGCCAAGACACAGTTGGATCCTAGATGTTAGGCTCCAGAAAAAGTCTTAGGTCCTCACAGGGACAGCCTGGAAAGTTGTAGTCTTAAAAGAATGGCGCCAAAAGTGTTTGGAGGCCTGAGGAAGGGCATTAAAGTGGTGAGAGAGACTTGTAGCTTTTAAGGAAGTATACCAAGACATGGTTAGATCCCGGAAGGATAAAGTGAGAGGGTCACAGGGTCAGAGCCTTGAAAGAGGGTACCAAATAACAGAGTTCTGACGGGTTAGAATAGAGGGTCAGGACCCTGAAGGAAGTGGATCAAGAGTGTTCATCCTTCATGAAAGGATTCCAAAGACTGTTGAAGCTTCGAGAATGGTATAAGGCCCTGAGAGAGAGAGTTGTCAAGAGATCCTCAGTGCCATGAGGGAGCAGGAGCTGTGTCAAGAAAGTGAGTGCCCTGAAGGTGGGGCACCAATAAGGCATTTCCCTGAGTGAGGAGCTTCAAGTGAGGATCAGAGCCCTGACAGAAGATTGCCAAGAGAGTTACAGAGCCCCAAGGAGAGGTGCAAAGAAAGGAGAGTCCAGAGGTGGTCCTGAGAAGTTGTCAAAACACAAAGGGAAGGGCGCCAAGAGAGACAAATGGAGAGATTGAAAGACAGAAAGAGATATAAAGGGATGGAGGAGCCTTAAAGGAAATGAACAAAGAGATGTTTGGACCCGACCCCCCCCAACTAAAAAAAGGAAGATGAGGGTGGGAAGGGTCTGAACCCCAGGGAAGCTCACAAAGAAGGTTGGAGCTATAAACAAAGTTTACTAAGAGAAGTTTAGAACCTTGACAAAGAGACTCAAAGACATTAGCCACACTGAGGAAGAGGTGTCATGAGAAAGTTGAAGTTTTGAAGTTGGGTTTCCAGAAATTTTGAGCACTTAAGAAAGGACCCAATAGAGGCTTGGAGTCCCGAGAAAGGGCTCTAAGAGTGTTAGCGCTTCTTTGAAAGGACACCAAGTGAGGTTGAAAGAGACAGGAGGAACCATGAGTCCACCATGAAATGGTTGGAGCCCTGAAGCAGAGACGTTAAGGGAGGTAGGGGCACTGAGGAAATGGTACCAAGGCGCAGCACCCAGAAAAGTCAGATTGAGTGAGGCATGAGTGAGAAGTACAAAGGAGTCCTAGATCATTGAGGGCAGGGGATCTAAGGTTGGAGCTCTGAAGTCAGTGCACAAAAAGGGATCTGCAGCCCAGAATGAAGGGAGATGGAAGTTTGGAGGGAGGGGCCTCAGGTGGGGATTAGAACTCTGAGAGAAGGCTGCCAAGAGAGGGCCAGAGCCCTCACAGAAGTAGTCCTAGAGTTCTAAGCACTGAGGGATGGGTGCCAAGAGAAGGATGGAGCCCCAGTAGAGTCTCGAGAGAAGTGTATGCTGAGAAGGTTCATTAGAAGAGAAGGTCAGAATCCATGGAAGTGTCCTAAGACAGAAGAGGAATTCTGAATAGAATTTAAGAGCCTGAGAGGAGAGTTCCAAGAGAGGTTTAGATCACTGAATGTGGGTTCTAAGATACTTGGAGCACTGAGGAAAAGAATGACCTGACCCTCAGGAGACATTTGGGGCACTGAGAAGAGATGGGAGCTCTGAAGGAAGGACCTAAAGTGAGTGTGAGAGAAGGGTCTCAAGAGAGGGTGGGAGACGTCCTGGATAGGAGCCCTGTGAAGTTCAGAACCCTGGAGGAGGATCACAAAGAGAGATGTCAGTGGAAGAAGGGGGTCAAGAAAGGCTCAGAGCCCAGACGATGCTAATAGGCTGGGTACTTAGACGGAAACTGGCCAATAGATGTTCTAAAATCGGAGGGAGAGTTATCAAGAGGAGGAGGCCGGTGGGAAGGCACAGGAGCTGCTTAGAGCCCTAAAGAAAGGGCTCCTAGAGAAGGTCCCAGTCCAGGGTAAATGGAGCCAACAGGACTGGATTCCTGAAAGAAGGGAACAAAGAAAGGGTCAGAATCCAAGGGAATGGTGCTAAGAGAGATACACAGAGAGAGACAGAGACAGAGAGAGCAACCCAGCTGGAGTCGTGTGGGAAAGGCACCGAGAGAGAATTGGGGTCTGAGGGAGTGGTGCAAAGAGTTGGTCAGAGGCTTGAAGGAAGGACACCACTATGTTCAGAGACCTGAGGAAAAGGCACCAAGTGACGTTCAGAGAGGATCAAAGATGATCAGAGCCTAAATGCACAGCTCCAATAAGAAGCTGAGGCACCCGGATAGATATCCTGAGGGAGAAGCACCAAGAGAGTACGGGGGTCTGAGGAGTGACAACAACAGAGTTTCAGAGCCCTGCAGGAGGAATGCCAGGTGAGGGGTTCAGCCTTGAGTGAATCACTCTGAGTGATGGTCAGAGATGTGTGTAGGGAGGAAAGGGCACTCCTGAGCTTGAAATCTGAAGGAAGGAGTGGAGGAACAGAGACCCTTGGGTGTGGACAGTCCTTAGGATGGTCTCCAGAAAGAGGATGTGGCTCAACTTCCTCAGGTAGGGCCTTCTAAAACATTCCTCTGAGGACAGATAAGTCCAGTGGGGCCAGCAGCTGAGGGGTGCTTCCAGAGCTTGAGTGAGTTAGCTGGAACATTCCAGGAGGGACATCAGATTCCAATGAAGCACAAAGTTCCAGATATGAGATGATAAGACCCAGCCCAGTGGGACAGTTCCATAAGCAGAGCCCAGGGGATTCAGCAGGATTATTCTAGAATGCATAAGAAAATGAGCAAATTTTCCAACAAGATTAGGGTAAACTTAAATCCAATAATAGGGTAGAGAGGACAGTTTAGGTGGATACAATGTGGACTATATGCCTGGGAGGAAGAATGTCTAGAAGGGGAGATGGCAGAGCCATCAGGACAGTTTCACAAGTGGGAAGCAAGACCCACGTAGGGAGCAGAATAGGATGGAGTAGGCAAGGATCTGAAGCTCCCATGGTAGGACCACTAGGTTAGGCTTCTGAGGCTGAGGCCATGGCCATGGATGTCTCCTCTGTGCACTGATGCTGAGGATATGGACCTGGATCAAGAGCCTTGCCCTTACACTTGCTCATGGTTCTCTTCACTTTCAGGTTCACAGGTGTGTTTGACATGATGCTCCCCTTCTTCTGGCTAATTCTCCTGGTTCTCCCATGGGTAGACACCAGTGTCAACAGTACCAGCGTGGGGGACAACAGTACCAGTAGGTTGGAAAACAGTACCACTGGGTTGGACACTGCCATTCAACCTAGGCAAGGCAAGTATGGTCTCAAGACTCCCAGTGTATTGGATGGATGGATACTCCACCTAGAGCTGACTAGGGTCTTAACAAGGCTTGTTTGGAATTGGCTCACCAGAACCAGATAACAAGAGACTTTACTCACTGAGCCATCTCATTGACCCCTTTGTTGTTTTGAGACAAGGTTTCTTTCTGTAGTTCAAAGTCTCAGAGATTGCCCTGCCTCAGTCACCCATGCCCTGAGGTTATGGGTGACCCAAGACAATGAGCTGCTGCCACTGTTCCTAATTTTAACAAAGGGCTGCAGCCAAATTACTAAGAAAGAACTCAAGAGCCTGTGCATCATTCTTGTGCACTGGGTGAATTGTCTTTCTGAAGACATTGGAGTTGCTGGACATTGGTGGTGAAAACCTTTAATCCAAGCCAGCATTCATGAGGCAGACGCAGGTAGCCTGGTGCACAGAGTGATTTCCAGGCCAGCCATGGCTACATAGAAAAACCATGTCTCAGAAAATCTAAAAGAGAAGGAGGCTAGTGTCTACACCAGGCAGCTCTGTTTACTAGCCATGTATCATGAGGTCACAATGACACTTTTCCATTTCTAGTAGCCAAAACAAGGAGGAGAATTATTTATTTCTTATTTTGCCTCATAGTAACTTTCTTTCATCAATTTTAGACATGGTTTTAGCATGTAAATATGCTTAGAGAGGTACTCCTGAGATTCATCATGGTTGAGTAGACTGAAGGCTCCCACAGAGAGCACTGATCAGGAGACCTAATGAAGTATGTGTCCACAGCACTTCCCTGCAGGGACAGAAGGTGTTGAGCCCAGAGAATCCCTGGAGGATTGTAATGTCCTGGGTGGCTACTGTCTCACAGAGGGATGGACATCTTTGAGGAGCCCAGCTGTTTTCCATGTGATCAGCCTTTAAGAAAAGGAAACTTTCTTGATGGGTCCATGGCTGTCCTGGGACCTGGTCAGGCTCTGCATTAGACTATTGCAGGACCTGAGCTCTGCAGGTCTTTGGGTGGCTTGAGTAGAGAACTGCATGGGGAAGCAGCTGTGAGAGGTGGGTAATGGGGTTCAATGGAGGAAAGGCTGTTTGGGGAGGCACACAACAGGAGATTTTTACTTTTGCAGAGATTGCAATGAAATGTCATAAGTGTTATTAGATAAACACCTTCAATTGCCCTAACTTCCAATTCTGCTCACCTATGAAAAGACGCTGTATGACTATTGCTGTATGTAAGTATCTGTACTTTGGTCACAGAATAAATAAGCCTACCTGCACAAGTTTGGGGGGCAGGGTCTGCCTGTTCTCTCTGCAGCCAGATGCACCAAAATTCTGGCAGCTCCTTGGATTGAGAGTTTCTTCACAGTAGCTGGGTTCAGCCCACTGATACAGCACTGAGCATCTGCTCATGGAGTCAAGGGCCCGTGTCTGATAGTGATCTGACAGTCTACACACCCTGTGTATCCAGGGCAGGAGAACCCTGTGGCCCCCAGACCTTAGCCTGAGCATCTCTGTGTTCATATGGGCACACACACTGCTTCAGCTCTGCTGAACCCTTGCAGGCATATTCGTTCTGATCTTTAGCATTCACATCCTGCATTAGTGACTTTTCTATTGCTCTGATAAAACAGCCTGACCAAGATACTTCTAAAATAAGGTGTTTGATTGCGCTTATGATTGGAGTCCATGATGGGGGAGGAAAGGCATGTTGGCAGGAACAGCTGAGAACTCATACCTGGATCTGCAAGCCGGAGACAGAGAGAGCTAACTGGGAAAGGTTCTAGGGTTTTGCAATCTCAAAGCCTGCCCCACACTGACACTCCTCCATGTGGCCACACCCTCTACTCCTTCCCAAATGCTTCTACCAACAGGCTAGCAAGTATTTATACATTTGAGCCTTTTGTAAGGGCCAGTGCTACAACTTCTTGCAGGTTCGGGCAAGGGAATCTGAGGATTGAATAAAGACAAGACAACAGGTCATTCTTGGAAGAGGAATGCCATTTATTTCAAAGGGGAAAAGACTTATATACCAACAGTGGCCACAGTGGAAATTTACTCAGGTCAACGTTCTTAACCCAAGCCCTTCAGGAATGAGCAGATAATTTGCATTCTTGCATACAGGCCTAGTCTGAAGGAGGGAATGAGAAAGTAACACCTAGTCAGGAGACAGTCAATGGATCCTAAGGACACTGTGGGTCAACCTTAGTTAAGAAAAGAATAGCAGACCACAAAGGGATCCCCAACATGAGCCCATGGGGGTCATTCTCATTCATACCCGACTAGTCAGATTCAAACACTGAGGTGCCAAATTACTCAACGTGATGCCTGCTGATGAGATGCAAAAGCGAGGGCTGGACCAGGGCACACAACAGGCAGAAGCAATTTTAAAGTGAACAGTGATCTTTTGTGGAGGAGACAGGATAGACTGCAAAGAAGATGTAAAAATCCTCAGTCATGTACAGTGAATTACACATGGTGACAATAACCACTGGACTCAGGAATGGGCAGGGCAGGGCAAGGGACAGTATTTCTAAAAGGTAGGCAATCAGGCAGCTCTGAAGTTCCCATTTTAAGTGTCCCCTACCATGGTGTCTAGATTGAACAGCACAAAGGCTACACTCATTATGGCTCTAGATCGAGGATGGAAGAACTTTGTCTGGGAAGGAACAGACAACAATGGTCTTAGTACTCCTGCCTGTGGCTGGGAGGAAGTAGCCATAAATAACACGTTGCTGCTTTGTTCTAACAGTAGTGTGTTTCCAGATGCAGGGGAGGGACTGGACCTGGCCCCTATGCTTTACTTTGCCAACATCAACAACAGGCAACCTGATAACAAAAGGAAGTCACCAAGAGTCCAAGACAGAAATGGCCAAAGGCACACATTTTCCCAGATTCCCCACTCAGGTTCATGGAATTAATAGAAGTGTGTGGTGTTGAGCATTGGCAAGGTCGTCATGAATGGAGCTATGTGGAGTTATTTCTTCATCACAGTGCAGTCAACCTGTGAGTTATTGTGAGGGAAGGGACTGCAGGCTCCTTGACAGGGAGGAAACTTTCTAAGTAGGCTGGAAGACAGGGCGGCCACCCTGGAGTGAGGAAATATTGGGAGTAGAATGATTCATGAAGAGAAGACTTATCAAAACTGAGTAGAGATCCCTGACAGCCAAAGTTCAACTATGGAGTGACACAAAGTTATGTGGGCAAGGGGGCTGCTTGGTTCCTGGTCACGAGGGCCTTCTGATGTTGGGCAGCAAACAGGTCTCAGGGATGTGGATGCTAAAGTAATCAGGGTGATTTCCACAGCAGAGGAACTAAATAATGTCTGTAGACTCCCAGGGGAACAAGCAGCAGCAAGGACTCAAGACTTCAGCTCAAGGCTTCCAGTAGGGTGGTGCCAGTGGGGGCTCACTTCACACAACTGTAGTTGGCTGAAAGCAATGGCGATGGTGGTCTTGATCTCTATGGAGCCTTGCTCGGAATGGGCCATCTAATCTGTGCTGGATAACATGACATCAAGGGCCCCTGTGGTTTGGACATAGATGGTAAGGCTTGGATAGCTAGGTAGAGGGTTGGAAAGGACTTCATTCTGCAGTTGTGAATGTGGGCTGTCCTGTGTGTCTTGATCATCTCTGGAGTGTCTAAGAGCATAGCTTCGGGTCACTGTTTCATTCTAGACCCTGGTAACAAACAATTAGAATAATATTAAAACAAGCACTGAAGAAGATATTTCATTAGCATTGTTGTGTGTCTTGAGACTAAATTGTCAACTGGGTAGGGACAGTGACAGACATAAAGATGGGAGCAATGCATAGACAGGTAAGTGTAGAATTTGGTACTGGAGCAGTCAGGCTCTCTTGCATACCTGCATCTTTTCTGTCAAGCATTCGTGACAATATCTTGTTGAGGAATAATATTTTTGTCCACTGTGAGGAAGTGTCACTCCTTCTGGTCCAATAAAATGCTGAACAGCCAATACCTAGGCAGGATTTTCAGGGCAGAGGGAGTGCTGAGATGAAGGGTGGAGTCACCAGCTAGACCAGGAGGAAGCATGGGATGTAGGATATGAGTTTACAAGCCACGTGCCATGGGGCTAGTTGTGGTTGCCTGTGGCTCTGGGTTTACAATGAAGATGAAGGTGGTTATTCTCCTGATGGCATCCTTTCTAGGTATGAACTCTCGGGAGCTCTTAGTCTACAAACAATATGTGGGTAACTGCACATTTGTGATCGTTCAGCCTCCACCAACGGTTATAATAAGACGGCTTCCAAGCACCAACAGCTTCTACTATTCCCTCTGCTGCTCAGGTTATTTATTGCAATGAGGGAGGACCTACTAATGTAGAGAGGGACTTGTTACCTCCTGTTGTGTTTGAAGAACAAGTTATTGCCAGAGCTGTGTATCTGGTAGAGTCCAATCTTCTCCTGAGCCTTGCCTTAATCTTCTCCTGCAGCATACTGAGCCAAGAAACCCTCCATGGTGTGTAACCATCTTCCTACGGTTGTAAGCAATTTTGTTCTTTGATGTTTCCTTGTGAAGCAGTGTCAGTGTTGAGGGAATCTGTGTGGGGCTGTTCATAGCTTGTTTTAAGAAAGAAATAATAGTATCATTTGTTGAAAATGTCCCTGGTTGTTCTTTTCTTGCTGTGTGGGAGCATTCAGCTTGGGATCTACTCAGACCAGCTCTTTCCTCTTCTACATCCTTAAGAGTTCCTATGTGGGATTGAAGGATCAAAAATTGGTGAAGGTTGGAAAGACTTGGGCTCTGAAGGGAAGAGAGAGGGGGAGCTTCTGATTGCTGGGAATGCCATGGCTGGCTCCTGAGCCCTGCTCCCAGAGAAGCAGAGGTGACTATTCATCTCTCCTGTTGGCATTCCTTTGCTGACTGCTGGTTGTAAAGATTCCCCAGCCCAGGGGATAATTGACAGACCCTGTAAACCCCACCACACCCCCAACCTCATGCCCTGTCTTATCTCAGTCAAATATATCCCCCTTAAATTGTATAGTCACTAACTAACTCTGTACTTTGTGTGACCTTAAGTAACCATAGAAACTCTGTAGTTTATGGCCTCCACCCTTATGGTCTGCCTTTTTGACTGGATGGTATCTCCTTTGCCAGCTATGCAATGAGATCCTGAAGGACCCCAACCTAAGATGTTTCCTTTGCAGATAGGTGAGAATCTAAACTTATGACCTTACCAGGAAAGGGCTGTTAGGGTTGAGGAATTCCACCCTGACAAATGGTTCCCAGGAATAGAGATGTACCACCTGAAACGAGCCAATCAGAACTGTTACCCTCGCTCACCCCAGACCCCATCTATTTGCAGTTTTTTCCTTTAAGAAGCCCCCTAGCCCTCAGTTCGGGGATCCAGCTCCTCTGCTCCTGCGTGAGTAACGTGCTGGGCCCCTATGCACCAGTTACTGAATAATATAACCTCTTGCTCTTTGCATCAAGTTCTCGCCTCTGTCTGGTGACTGGGGGTATGGCCTATCCTGAGTGTTTACCCCAGGGTGTCACCCTGGGGGGGGGTCTTTCAGGACCATGGTTTGAGCTGCTTGGCACCCTTTAAATACTGTAGGCCAAATACTCGTTTCAGTTGGTAGGTCCAACATTTCAGACAGTCTTGGTATATGGGCGTTTTGAACAAAAAACAGAAATGTTCTGAGTCAGTATGTTGGCTGATAAGACAGGTAGGTCCAAGTTAGGCTCCCATGACCACAGTACTTGCTAGATTCTTTTAGTCCTCCAGTCATGGGAGATGGGAACAGAATCAGTGCCTGACAAGGAGTGGCACGTTAGCCTCTGGGCCTGATAGTCATGTTTGTTTTTTCCCTTTGCTGTGGGACAAATTCCTCAGCAATTGGTTTGTCTCTACCACACCTGCTGCTTTCATCGTGACAGAATGTTACCCATGTCTAAGCCCTGGAAGTCTCCAACAAATTTCAAATTTTTCCTACATTTATTCTTTCTGTATATGTGTGCATGCATGTGACCCTATTCGGGTGTGGGTTCCCTTCACTTCTAAAATGCTCAGGAATGTGCACAGGCAAGTACACTGCACTAACACAGCTACAGCGTGTGGCAGTGAGAGGCAGAGAATCAGTGAGATAGATGGAGAGATGTACCTGAAAGAATTGCCTCTGAATGTGGTGGTGGCACACACTTTTTATCCCAGAACTTGAAGATAGAGACAGAGGATCTCTGTGAGTTGGAATCCATCCTGATCTACAGAGTGAGTTCCGGTACACCCAGTGTTACACAGAGAAACCATGTCTTTAAATCCAGAAACCAATCAACAAGAAAGAAACAGGTGGCCCTTGAAAATGCCAAGCTTGCCCAGCTGGCACACACTTTTAATCCCAGCACTTGAAGATAGAGGCAGAGGATCTCTGTGAGTTGGAATCCATCCTGGTCTACAGAGTGAGTTCCGGTACACCCAGTGCTACACAGAGAAACCATGTCTTTAAATCCAGAAACCAACCAACAAGAAAGAATTGTCTCTGATAGGTCTGGCTCATTCTAATTTTGTGAGCCAGGGCATCAGGCTTGGGTTTAGTTAGGTCTGGCCTGACACGGCTGCTGTTAATTCAAATTCTTCAATCCTCAGGCTAGAAACACAGAGTGTTTAGGTGGCAGTGTTTGGAGGAAATTCTGTTTCAGTCATTGCTCACTGACAAATAAAAAACAAAGTCAAAAAAGAAGGTGTCAGAATAAAGCATCCCTCTCCGAACTTACCACCCTGCAGTTCTGAATCCGCCCCATCCGAGGGGTCTCCGCGGTGCCGGCAATGTTAACAAGTTCCCGGCTGCAGGGACATCTACACCTGGTGCCTCCCATGCTTAGTACCACAACTAAGTAGACATGAGCAAGTATTGTCATGTTTCACACTGAGTGTCTGTGGGTCTAAGTCTGTTTTTTTTTTTTGTGTGTGTGTGGGGTCTTCCATGTGATAACACAGATGAGGGTTCCATGCTT